ATGTCTTAAATTATTGGTTACCCTAATGCGTGCCAGCAACGCGAACTTCATTTACCTTGCCTCAACTTTTCCTTGCAGCAGCAGCGGCCAAAGTCATCGATCCACATCAAATGACAGCCCCTATCATTCAAATGGAAACAGTTTTTGATCTCTGTGGGAAATGTATATTTTCGCATATATAAATATGTATATATATTCTTAACGCTGCTTATCTATCGATCCATCTGCAACCTCATCAGCTGGGGAAGTTAAGAGGGTCATCCATCGAAGCACATCAAAAGACGAGCGCCTGTCATTAAACTGGGAACAGTTGACTAACTTATGTGCGCGAGTGTTCTCAGAAAGTGTGCTCAGCGAGAACAGAGAACAGTTAGAAACTAATCTCAGCTTCTCTTTCTCTCCCTCCTTCACTATTCAGTCGATTTTTTTGCATTTGAACAGTCTTTATATGACAAAATTATAAAGATATTGTAATCCAAACATATTTCTAGGTGAGTCCCATAATATTATCAAGAATTTAAAATGGTTTTTAATAAAATGTATAATTTTCTTATTTTCTGATTTTTATTTAATTTATTTTAATTGTTATAAATTCAGAAAATATAAAGTCAGAAAATTATAAGAAAATTTAAATATAAACAATAAATATAAAATATATATATAATAAAATATACAATTTTAAAAATACAGAGAAAATTGTTTAAGAAACTATTATATTTCTTATATTTAAAAACTTTGTATGCCATCAAAAAATTTCTTAAAATAATTTATTTCTTACATGTTATTTTTATTATCTAACAAAGCATTTGCTAATTAAACATTAATTTTTTAAAGGCATGGAGATACTTTTGCTGTATTGTTTTTTCCATATATTATATTATAATTATTAAGATTTTTTTTTAGATTTTATTTATTATATATTTTGCTAATAATTTATCCAAATTTATTTTATTTAATATTTCAAAGATATTATATTTATATTTCATCAACAACTTTTCTGAGGCGGAATTTTCAATAAAAATTTAATTATTTAATTATTTACTTTAATATTTTTTTATGTTTTTTTTTTATTTTTATTTATTTATTTATTTTATTATTTGTATAATATATTTAAAAATACAATATAAAATACATCTCTATATAAAATATTAAATCTATAAAATGTTAATATTATATATACAATATCATAATAATATTTAAGAAATATAGTTGATTATACTGTATATATATATGAGATACTAAGTGGATAAAAAATAAATATACGAGTTTTGGGGCAAAATATATGTGTGTATATCCAAGAAACCCTTGACAACTATATCAATCGAAGTTCCATGCTGTTCGATTGACTGACTATTTGAGGGGCAGTTTGAATAAGAATATCAAAAAATACAAACCTAAAAATTAAATATCCAAATTTTCTGATAGCATGGAAAACGAACGGCCCATTGATATTGGATCTATGAACTCGGATGGTGCAAGGAATAAGCCAGCTAAGCAAATGTTGCTTCAACAAATATCCGTGAGCAAATACGGACATCTCGTGCAACAGAGTCGAGAGGAGTTGCACGTGGAGCAAAGCACAGGATTCAAGGATGTGCAGCACAGGGGCATACTTGTCCAGGTAAACCAACCTATATAAATGCATATATATAATATATATACTAACTCCTGCTGACAGAAGGGAATTGTAGAGCTTTTAGATGATTTTGAGCACATCGGTGATTGCGGGTCAACGGGAAACCTAGGGGAAATGGTGCAACAGACACGAGACGCATTTGTTGAGCAATTCTGCTTGGATCCCAAGTATGCTCAGGTCAAGGGCATACTTATAGAGGTATTATTTATGAATTCCTATAATATCATATATATGTAGCTATATTTGGTAGAAAGGAGTCTTGCAAGACAGCAGCGAGCCAGAAATGAGTTCTGATTTGGAATGCGTGGAAAGGGAACTTGAGGACTATTGTCTATCGACCTTAAAACGTCCGGTAGATATGCCTGACAGTATAGAAGGCATGATGAAGTATATCAATGAGTTTACGGAGAGCTTGGATACTAAGCCGGATCAAAAGGATTGGGTCAAGTTTCGCTCTTGCATACGTGAGGTTTATGAATATCATTTGAATAAAAAATCCGAACATGAAAATGTGGACGACAATTCAGATGTGCAAGTCTTTTATAGGGATACAGACCTGAAAAAAGATCTAACCCAAGTCGAATTGGACATCGTGAGGATGATGCAGCCACTGAACGAGCTCATCCAGCGATCACAAAAGCTGACCAACAGCATTGAATGCATTGAGAGCAAGATCAATCGATTGGATCTCAAAGTGGACAGTTTCTACTTGAGATACAATGAAAATCTGCATAAGCGAGAGCAGTCCTTCGAAGAGATAATGACACTGCAGAGATTCCGAGAGAGAATCGGCCAGAGATTGACCAAAATCGAAACGGAAATTCATACATCCAAAACTCTATTACTCAAGGGGCGTGTCCAGAAGAATTAAAAAGGTAAAGGAAAAGAGGCTCGTTAGTCAAATTGTAGGTATGCTCCGCGTAAAGGAGCATCGAAGGGCCTGAGAGAGATAGAGATATAGAGCTCTCGGTCTCTTCAGGTCGGTAAAGTGAGGAAATCAACAGCTTTCCCATCAGCAACCAGCAATTATACTCATGAGCCCCCATTCTGAATGCAATTTACTCTGATTGTGGACCTGCGTACGTCGTAACCGTCGATCTGAAAGCCAATCTCGTCTGATGTGGGCACTCAAATTCTGTGTATGTCTTCTACAATGAACTGGTAAACATTGAGCAATAAATATCGAAATGTTTAAGAATTATGTGCTAAATGGGTGTCAACTGTGGGCTGGGTAATATTATGTATGGGCTACTGACATGTTGAGGCCTTAGTAGATACGAGGTCTAGTCTAGTGGACCACTGCTAAACACATGTACTTAGCTTTTTGGTACTGAGTTAAAGGTGCCTGTGAGAGGTGACCCTACTTGGCTGAAACTTCCGAGGGATCACAGCTTAGGCAGCTTAGCAGCGAGCCGTTTAAGAGACTTGCTTCTCAGCTAGTGACGTCTATGGTATTGAGTAGATAGAATTTCATTCAATTGAAGTATGGTAGATCAGGTGCATATCGTAATTAGAGGAGACTTCCGAGGGGCCTCATCTCAGTTGCATAAAGGGAAAGTCTAAGCAGCAGCTGCCTAGCCTTCAGTTCGCCCAACTTTAGACTCATCTGTTAGCTTTAGTTTAGCTGCTTCTTGAACACATTTCTATTCCAACTCTATAAAGCATTCAACAAGAACAATAATACACCTTAGAGGGCTGGATAGGTCCCTGCTTAGGACTAGCTGGATATCCTAGCTATTTCTTAGATATAATTCCAGAACATCTGAGTTATACTCGTCTGAAAAGAATAACACTCTCCTCTCATTAAGTCATTCAAGGACAATAATCTTAAATTTCCGATGGCAAGATTTTCATTTAGCTCTCAAAATAGAAGGATAGTTATATATATATATCTTATAGATATACCTTAGATTCAACTGAGCTGTTTCTTATTTGAAAATGTAATCAAGGCAACGCAGGACATGTTTAAGAGTCTTAAAGAGACTTCCGAGGGTTGCACTTGTAGAACATGTTTAAGAGACTTTGAGACTTCCGAGGGTTCCCTAAAGTCAATTTGGGTTTCATTTGCATTGTTATAGAAGCTAGCTCTTCAAAGATAATACAAGCTGCATATGACTGAGCTCACAGCGACGAGGCTCTTAGTTTAAGTTGTCTGAAGGAAGCTCAGGACAACTCTTGATAGAGAATATCTCGCTTAGTCAAGTGACATCTACAATATCTAGTTAAGGAATATTCAAAGTTCCTAAGCTAAGTTGGCTATGAAAATGTATACATTTATTTAGATTTGTATACCAAAGTCATAATTTGCATTAGGCTAGTCGTCAGTTTAGAGAATTTATTCAAAATTATTTTTGTCGTAGGTTATATTTTTTATTGTTGTTTTTCATCTGCGCTTGGGCACTTGCCTTGATTCATTGCATCAGTATGTTACCTCCTTGCTGCAAGAACTTTGTCCGTGAAATTTTGTCAACGGACCTGTACTCGGGTTTCTTTGCCCGAAACGGCGGGTATATAAAACGTCAGAAGTTCCAGCCGCTGCGCCCGGCGGTGTCCGCGAAGTATGTCGTGCCACAAAGATTGGGCACTAAAGACTATCGACGCTATCATAAGGGAGATGAATCTGAGCTCGACACTGACGGGCAAAAGCGAGTCGATGACGTGGCTGCCCGCCCAAAACAGCGTGCCTCTTTGGAGCCGGCGACTACCTCTAACGGGATCGCGTAAAAAGTGGTTCGCATTTGATGTGGAATTCGATGAGCGTCTATGGTCACTCTGGGGCGGACTGCATCCGCGTTCCACCTACTTCGACAGCCAGGCGAGAGGGCACCAGACCTGCTGTGTGGTTGCTTGCTGTGCGGCGAGCGTCCTGCTCAGCCTCAAAGGGTGGACATCCAAGCTGCTCGATGTCATTGTCGTCGCTGGAGACAAATACTATCGAGCGAGCATGCGGCGTAGTAGCAACCCGGATGATCTGGCGCTCGAGTGCAACTTTCACGGCACGGACTTCTTGGTCCAGCTGCAGTTGATGGCCCATGGACAGCTCTACAGCTCACCTGCCGGCCCGGCTATGGGCCTCTATGAAGCCCTCAACTTCTTCTTCACGCGTTATCAGTTCAGCATAGTCCAGTGCCAGGGGCACCATCTGGCATTTGGCTACTCCTCCTGCCGGAACGGAGGATACTTTTTCTACGACTGCAGTGGCTGGGATCGGCCCGTCTTTCCAGACAACATGGGCGCCTCCTATGTGCTGCGTTGCAAGCAGCTGCTACTACTCGTCTACTGCATCGTGGTGACCCTGAACGTGCGAAGAGCTGGAATAGATTTTCAAATTTTTAGCGTACAAGCAGATCAAGTAGTGAACTAGCAAATCGGAGCGGAGATTAGATGATTAACTGAGTGACATGATTATTGTGATCAGCCAAATAAAGACGAATGAACGAAATAATGACTTGCTGGACATTTGGATCGAGTGGAGGTTGAGCTTGAGCCTATCTTGTATGCCTTGTATGCCTTGTATGCTCACTATATGCTTCTAATTCGACATAAATAACTACAAAGTTCCATATCTTTGGTTCTCTCACGAGCCAAGATATTAAATTTACAAGGATTTTTAACTTCATTTCTCTACATTTACTCTCTCTTTTCTTTCTTCTAGAGAACTATTTTCTTCTCTTCTGTACTTTCATTAATTTTTTTCTTCTATATTTTCTTTCTTCTGCTCAATTCTCCCCTTTTCACTTCTTCCCAACTTTTCCATTCTCTCTTTTCATTTTTGTTTTTTTTTTCAATTTTTGCATCTTTTTTTTTCTTTTCCCTCTTAACTTCTATCCTCAATTTATATTTTCTTCTCTCTCTCTCTCTGCCTTTCCCTACTCATCTCCCATTTGCTCTTGTTCACTAATATTTCTTTTTACTTCCTCCTTTTCCTTCTCAACTTTATTTCTCTTTTCTTCTTTCCTTCTCAATTTCTATATTCGATTTCTACTTTCTTCTCTCTCTATCTGTCTATCTCGTCGTTTCTTATCTCACAATCTGTTCCCATCTCTTTCAATCTCTTCTGTTCTAACTTCTCTTTCTCCCTTCTCCCTCTTTCTCTCTCTTATCTTTTCTATATCTATCTTATCTCTCTCTTTCTACTCATCTCTTTTCTCTGCCCATCTAGTCGTATCTCTTCTAGTACCTCTCCCTCTCAACATTCTCTTTTATTTACCCCCAAACCCCATTGATTAGATACGATAATCTGTAGTTTGCCTAGCTAAGGCAACGGTCTCCATCTTTTTCCCGGTTTCCCTGTCTTAGCTGCTTCTGTGTGCTGTGACTTAACAAACTCTCGCCTCAAAGCCAACCGCCAACTAATCAAAGGCTGCAGTTAAACTTCAGTCTCAGTGCACACACAGGACAGCCCTTTGGAGTGCAGGACAGTTGAAAGAGCTTATCGCAGAGCAGGAAGCAAGTGTTGTTATCTGCAAGTATTCAGGTTTTTCTTACGCTTCTCATTCATGGCATTCCTTGGGGCTGCTGCCAATGCGTCTGTGTTGCTCCTAAAATGTTGCCATTAGATAATCAAAATAGCTTTGCATTCAGCCCTTGGCTCATTCAAGGAATTCCTGACCGGAGCGAAAACCAGTTTCATTTCAAAACCAAAACAAAGTTATTTCCAAGTTCTTTTTGCTTATTTTTTAAAAACAAAGCCGTCTACTACGTAAGTACGCAAAATACTACACGGAAACTGTGAATCAGGTAACGAAATAAATGAAAACAAAGAATAAGAATTAAGACCAAATTGCAGCCAGAACCAAATAAACCAAAATAAGGCGAAACACAATAAAACTGCATTCCAAAAACTCAGTCAAATGTAAAAAAAAACCAAAAAAAATAAACAAAATAATGAAAAAGGCAAGACAAACTTCTAAAATAAAAAAAAGTGGGTAAAAAAATCGAATAAGAAATCCGGTTTCGTTTTCAACCAGAACGAGAGTTGGGAGTTTGAAAGGTTGCGACGCGCTGCTCGTTTTGCTCGTAACTCTGCGCTTGCCCATAAAACGGGCCACAGCCTGCATGCAGAAAGATTCGCCGACTGCTGGGGGGGCCGGGGGTTGGTTTGAAGTGCTGTTATGAAGAGGGCTAACCAAACGAAGTTGGCCAAAAAGTGCAAAAGGCAGCAAAACTCTCTGATAAATTGCAGGAGACGAACTTGAAATTTAGATTTCGAGAGCAACCGCAAAATGTTGCCAGAACGTTGACAGCGACAGCGACTGCGACTGTGGCTGCGACGTTGACGTCAGCGTCGGCGTCGCTGCTGCCAAGTAGCGCAGCGCAGCGACTGCACGCGACCGAACGAGTTAAGAGCGCACGTATAACTGCAGCTTGGGGGCGTTTTGGCATGTATTGGTGAGTCAGGCAGAGAGACAGAGAGAGAGAGAGAGAGAGAGAGCGAGAGAAAGAGAAAAAGAGCCAACTCGTTGGAGCAGCGGCTGCTGCGTCCGTGGAGTTTCTTTTATGCACACAAAAACAGAGACACACACACTCACACACACACAGTCAAATATTATTGCAGTTTTTATTGGCATTGTTAATGGCTGTGTGCGTGCTTTAGTGTGTGTGTGTGTGTGTGTGAGTGCAAAGGGTTGAGTGCTGCGCTGTCTGTGTGTGTCTGAGCTTAGCTGCATTGGTAGTAGTTGCAGCGCCATGCTCGTGTGTCTCTGCGAGTGTGTGTGTCCGTGTGTGAGGCAGGAGCATTTTATTGATTTTTGTGCGAGCAAAAAAGTTTGCATGCGATTTAGTTTTTTGGCAACGATAAAATGTGGGGTAGAACGAACTGGAACGAGTAGAAATGTTGCGGAACAGTTTTGTTACAGCAAGAATAGACGACTATAACTAATGTTAAATAAGTTATGAGCACAAAGTTTATTATATGCAAATATTGCCCGCATGATTTGACAGTTGCTTTACCCTATTTTCAATGCCCGCATTTGGCAGCACTCTTGCTCTCTCTGTCGCACTCATACGCTCTGACACAGACAGCGGACAGCAGGCAAAAGTGCAACCGAAATATTCTTTTAGTGCACATACAAAAGCTGCTCTGCAGATAACTGTAATGCATACTGCCACTCTCTCTTACTCTCTTTCTCTCACTCCCTTTCTCTCGCTCTCTTGTCATCTTTTGCACTCTCTCATGCTAGGAACTTTTTTGAACGTTCGCAATCAACTCAAGATTAAGTTTTCTTAAAGCTTTCGGAATAAAAGAAAAATTAGGTTTGTAAATGCCATCAATTCGCACCTTAAGCCATGCCGATTGAGCGGGGATAAAAGGTTCTGTGCTTTACAAACTGGCAACCTTTTGGCCCACAAATCCCACCACGTTCCAGCTCGTTGTGGCTGTTAACTGACCAACTAAACTTGGCGCGACGTCAAGCGACCCGCAGCCAAAAGCCAATGAATAGCCCAGCGGGCAAATGCAAAAATGGAATGCAAAAAACTCTAAAGATGCACAGCAAACGAAGTTCGAGGTCACTGCATTGCACACACACATACACTCACGTACACACACAACTACAAATAAATAAAACAACAAATGAATTGAGTCCCTCGTAACACTCTCGTGCCTCATGGCAGGAAGGGGGAGAGCTGAAAAAGTTCCAGTCAAAATTGCAAATAAAGTAAATGGAAATGACTAAAAAAGTGAAATCCACAAAAAACGACCACGGCGTCAGCGACAACAACAACAACAGTTACAGCGGCCAACTGCAGTTTGTGGAGCTTTGATTATTGTTGTTGCTGCACTGCTTACTGCACAGCCTGCGGAGGAGTTAGCGACGCAGCGACTACCATTTGGCACAAAAGAAGAGAAAAAGCGGTGCAAAAAAACTATGTGTTCGGCGAATGACACACAAAACAAGTAAGAATATTGAAGCGTGAAGTACACGACGAGGGTTTACCCTGCAGCAGAAATGTATTAGGAATCCGCACATACGCAACCATAATAAATATATTAAAATATTTATATTCTAAAATAAATAAATGTAATTTTTTATATTTAAATTTAAATAAATGTTGCTATAAAACTTAAAATTATATACCATGCCTAAAGTTAATGGCGTACAGGGTATACAAAGGCCCAGCAGCAAAAACAGCAATGCAAGAAGATTAATGATACTGTTCAAGGATATTTCGCTCTATGCTATGCTTAAGCTTTGCACTGTCAGTAAAGCTACAAAAAATGTGAAGCAAATAGAAGCGTGCTCTGGTAGCTGATACCCTGTAATATATGCTGAGCTGATGTTTGAAGTAACTTTGTCTACTATTTAAATTTATATTTTCCATCTTTCATAACTTGCCCTTATCATAATCAGCATTTAAACTTAAAGCTAGTTACCAAAATTGAGAAACAACTTTACTTTATGTTTGGCAACTCCCTACTTACATTATGGCATGCCATAACAGTCTGTAGTTGCCCCGCCTCGAAGCCGAATGGAGTGGAGTATGGCACCCACACACACTCACACTTAGATTTTAATGACTAAGCGTTGCCTTTACAGCTACTGCTTAACGATCAGATGCCGACTGTGGAGTAGCCCCCTCCTGACCCCTCCCCGTTCTCGCCCACCGATGTTAGCTGATTGTTTTTAACGAGCGCAGACGTTAGGCCTACTAACACTCCACTACTCCTATCCCCCCTCTCCTCTATGCACTCTTTGCCTTTGTGGATGAGGTGCCACAGCAGCTCAAAACTTTGTCTGCGTAGGCGTAAACGCTTCTACTGAACTACTACCACGCCCTCTTCTTCTGTGCAGCTCTCTCCTCTTTCTTTCCCTCCCTTTCTCCTCACTCTTCTCATCTCACTTAACAACTGGTCAGTCAGCAGTTCCAAGCTTCAACTGCCAACTGACTGACTCACTTAATGACTGAGCGGCGAAGCGTGCCCCGAAACGGCAGCAGTTACTCCTGTTATTGCCTTAGCTCCACCTATACACCCGAAGCTACCCCTCACCACCGCCTCCCGCTGCGGCTTAATGACGCATGACTGCGAATTTTGCATTCAGTTCGTGTTTAGTTTTGTGGTTTTGCCTTTTGCCTTTTGCCTGGCTGCTTTCAACTGCAGACAAAGAGAAACAGAACTAAGAGCCCCGACGAACGCAAAGCGCACGGAGTTGTATACTCTGTTGCCCATTGATTTGAATAGAAAGGGTAGCTTAAAGTAATGCAAGTGCACGTGCATAGCTGATAAAAATCATTTTGAAAGTATTAAGAATAATTATGATATTAAAAATAATTATCATAAAGATATTGATGATTATGTTATGCACATGCTATGAAGAAAATTTCGATAATGATAATGACAATTATGATTATCATAATGATGCT